CTGTCAATAGCTTGGAGTTTTTATTACAAGTTGTAAGTTTTGTGTCTACAGCAGTTTTCACAGTGGGCTGCAGGCCTACTTTAAGAAAGCTACTAATGGGCCGCTCAGGTTTGTTTACATAACAGCTCTGCAGTCACAAAGGCTCGCAGCTTCCATTGGCCATGATTCACCATTTGCAGCGAAGAGGAGCCTCCGGAAGCGGTGTGGCCTGGGCCATTGCTTCTCATGGCTCCCCTTGACTGCAAACAATGAGCCGCGGCCAATGGAAGCCGTGAGGCTCTATGGCTAGAGAGCTGTTAAGTAAACAAACCAAAACAGCCCATTAGCAGCTGGTCTACAATATGGTAGAAAGGGGGCTTCTCACCGCAGAGGCAGCCTCATTGTCTTTGTGTTGCTAGAACATAATTTCTGGTGGTACATGGCAGAGCAGCACATCCCTAGCTTTTGGTTCAAACTTTTCTGCTGGTGCTGCAGTATCCTCTATCTATGCAGACTGTTCAGAGAGACTCACCCAAATGTGAAGAGGAAGAGCTGTTAGCTGAGAACTGTGAGCTTGCTAGTATAAAGTTCAAAAACCTGCCCTCACATACCACCCTTTTAGCAAACATGTTTATAATCCTTAAATTATTCTAAGACCTGTTGCTCATATTTATGATAGGAGGACTCACACTAAATGGGATTGAACACTAAAAGTCAGGAGAAAGGTCAGCAAGTGGCATGAGAACTGACTAGACAAGCTTATACGTGGGTGCTTAGAGAAAGCGAGCAAACACTAGGTTGAGGCAGGCCTTGATAGTGCTCTCAAAAGGGAAGAGGATGCTTGCTTTCTCACTGCACCTTGACAATCTCCATTTAAACATTATTTCCATTCCTTTCTTAAATGAAAAACAAAGTCGAGATCCCAGCAGAAGGCTGGAGTTGCAGTTGTATCACACTGGGACTGGGGTTCAATACACAACTCTGCCACAGCCACCAGGTGGCACCTTGTGAAAGTCACTGATCTCTGTATTCCAGTTGCCCTCTGTGAAGAGAGAGTAATAACATATAGGCCTTTCTCACAGAAGTGTTGTGAAGATAAATCCATTAATCTTTTGAGCTACACACAGTGGAGCAATTAGTGCCACAAAACAGCCAACACACTTATAAATTAATTTACAAAATCACTCAGCATCATAAAGTGTCAGAGTTGGGAGGTTCTTTCCCTGAATACAAGAAAAGGCAGGGAAAACCTAGTTACCGAAGAAGCAAGATTAGCATGATATTCAGAATTACTTACAACGGTTTACACATGCTTCAATGACTCTGAAGCTCTTAAATATTACCAGAAGTTGCACCTCAGTTCTATAGGACTGCAAATGTACAAAGAGCTGGGCAGTGGTAGGTCATGGCTGAAACTATTAAAATCCTAAAGGCACAAAAGAAGAAAAGCCAGAATAAGCTAATGAAGCTGATGCACATATACTGGCTTGCTTGAAAGTCCCACTGTGAATCTGTAGCAGAGCTAAACTAGAACCCATGAATCCTGACTTCCAATGATGTGGCTTAATCACAATACCATTCTTTCCTCTTTTCAAGTCTTTGATAAATGCATTAACTAAGATTTCATTTTTTTACAATTTTCACACCGTTTTTTAATTAAAAAAAGTAAATATACCCTTGAAATTAGGAGTTTCATTAATGCTTTATAACTTAATCTAGTGTTTCTCAAAATGGTCCGCGGATCCACTCTGAGAAACCTGCTAATTGGTCACTCTGGTTTGTTTATTTACTGGCTCTGCAGCTATGGAGCCTTGCAGCTCCCATTGGCTGTGGTTCACCGTTTGCAGACAAGACTCTGTGGCTGCGGAGCTGGTAAATAAACAAACTGGAATGGCCAGTTAGCAGGTTTCTCAGAGTGGATCTGCGGATCACTTGGAGAGACTTAAATTAACTGTATTTTTATAAATTACCAGCAGGGGGCAGGAAATAATAAATTTTTCATGAAGAAATCCAACTTCCACAGAAGACTGATATATTAACATAGAACCTTCATTCATTTTAGAGATTGCTGCCTCTTTCAATGAAATAATGAGAACAGTGGCTCTGATCTTTGCCCATTTTTATGTTTCATCACCATTACAAAAACAAGGAGTCTGGTGGCACTTTAAAGACTTCAAAGTGCCACTGAACTCGTCGTTTTTGCTGAAACAGACTAACACGGCTATCTCTCTGAAACCTGTCACCATTACAAAGTGGCTCTAAGCCCAACCTAACAACAACCGGGCAATCAGCCCAATGTAAGGAGACACTCCAGCAGTGCAAGAGGAAACAGATCATAAACCACCCGTTCTTTCCGCAGCCAAACCGCAAAATGGCTAGGGAACAAGAAGTACAGTGAAGACTTCCCTGCACCTTTGCAGTCCCTGGCTGCCATACCAGTCCCTTAAGACTCTTGGAAGTCAGAGTATCTTAAAGAAGTCTTCAAGGTGCACTGAGTTATGTGTATCGCACAAAAGTATCAGAGAGACTTAAAACCATCTTTGCAGCTCTCCAGTCCCTTCTGGAGATGCACTGTGCACTATTCGGATATAGCCCAGGATTGGTTCTATTGGGTTGTAATCACACAATTCTTAGGAACGGGTATATCACAACAGCAGCACCAATTTACTACCAGAAAGCTGAAATAATTGACATCTCAGAATTTGTCTCCACTATGGGGTGGATCAAAGTTAAAGTGATCGATCCACGAGGGAGCAATTTAGTGGGTCCAGTGAAAACCTGCTAAACCTCTTCGGTCGACTTCAGTACTTAACCAGAACAAGATGAGTAAGGAGAGTCAACAAGAAAGTTTCTTCTGGTGCAGCGTGGACCCCACAGTAAGTAGAACTAAACTCTATAGCAAATTGCATAGCTGAAATTGACTTGTCCCACCATGTAGACCCTCAATGATACAAAAATATCTCAAAAACAGACAATTAACCTCAATTATATAATGCATCAAAACAACAGAAATTGCTAATATGCAGTACATTGTTTGAAGGGGGAAAGATACATTGCACCTTATCTGTCCTTTTAAAAACAATTCTATTATTTTCCTCTGAACAAAGAGCATCTGCATCTGGCAAAGTGATCCTCATCTAGTCAGAAATCTCAACAAGTTCCTAGCACCGACAGCTTAAAATATTCTTTGTGGAACATTCATAAAAAAATAGCAATGAACACTCTGAATGGGCACCTGAGGAAATAGCAATTTTATAAAGCGGCATTTACTTTCTCACTCACACACACACCCTTACTTTATGGTACTGCTTCTAGGATTTTCACATCAATCTGGACTAGTAACAAATATTTAATGTTAGACTCTCCTTCAGCCTGGTTTGATTCTTTACAGATCTGTTCTCCTTCTAAATAGCAAGCAAGATGTTGATCTTCAGTACTCCATACTGGAAACAAAGTTCATTTCCCTTCATGCTCACATTGCATAGCATGTTTCAGTTCTATAAAGTACTAAGCCAAATTCTGTTCATGTACAAGGGTAAAAGATAAAGTGCATTTCATGGCTCTTTAGCAGAGAGAAGTTCCTTGATTTGTTACCCCCCCAAAAAAGTACTTTTCCCAAGTGAGATTAATTAGCTTGCAAGTGAAAATGCAGAATTGAATCAAATTAAAGTGTGTGTGGGGGAGAGGGAATATAAAATCAACCTTTAACCACAGCAGCATGCAAATCACACATTGTGCTGTCACCAGAGAGGAAGACACTCAGTTCCGCTTCTGTATGGGACATTGTTTGAGGAGACCTACATGTTTACTAAAGCTTTGCTTCAAAAGTAAATTAATCAGATAGCAATGCCAGATTTTAGTATGTCTAGTTTACATATGTTGTAAAGCTTCCAGCATTGAATGCTACCACTGTACTTGTTGTAAAGCAGATAAACAGAAAAGGGAACAAAACTCTAATCCACTTCCCTATTTCCCTTTACTTTCTAGCCACTGTCAGTGGCATATGGAGCCATTAAGTAAATACAAGTACAGAATACTCAGAGAAATTAGCCAGAAACTGCTGAACTTTTTTCTCTTAAACACCAGGAGTAGCTTCCAAACACACACACTAAAAAACTCATAAGTCAATCCATATTTAGGATTTTGAGCATTTATGCTTTTTGAATATATACCTGAAGTGTCCTTTATTTGTCCAGAAAGAAAACACACTAAATTAAAGTTTAAAAATGTGCAAATGACCAACTAGGCAATAAAAATGTTATTGCTGCAGCTGAAAGCCAGTAAGCCTGGTCTACATTAGGACCTTATTTCAAAATAACTCCTCCCCTAAGGCTGAATTTATAAGCGGTAGTCTACACTATCAAGCCCGTTATTTCGGAATAATGGGCTATGGAATTCGAACTCTGTACTCCTGCTTTTCATCAGGAGTAATGCTAATTCCAAAAGAGTAATTTCAAAATAACGGTAGTGTGGATTGTTGGGATTTTGCGGTTCCCAGAAACTCAGGTGCTGGGCAGAATCAAGGGTCTTTAATTCGATTTGATTCAATTTGATTTAATTTAATACTTTATTCAATGTGCACAAAGGGAGAGCCCCTGGTACTAAAATCAGCCAGAGCCCCTCGAGCAAGGAGCCCCTCCCCATGTGCTGTTTCATAGCACATGGTTACAGGTTACATAACACAAACTTCTAAACCAATCATATTCAACCTTTCCATATATGGCTTTGTTTGTCACATGCATGCACCTCTCCACTCCACATGCCGAGCTCACCCCCCTCCCCTTGGCCTCCTCCAGGCTGTTGCTAGGGTGGTGAGCCACAGTATGCCTCTCCATGCATACCCTTCAGGATGCTCCAGTGCCGCTAATTTGAAATAATTGGCCTCTGGGAGGCCTCCCACAGCTCCCCAGAGTGCTTTCTGGGGCTCTAAGTCCAGAGGTAGCGCATCCACATTAATGAAGCCTGACTTGGACTAATTTTGATGCTTTCCCATAGTGAGGTCACACTAGTTCGAATTTGTTAAATTGGATATTTTAGTAATTTTATTTTAGTAAATCGGGAATTTAGTAATTTTGAAATAGTTTCCTAGCATAGACATAGCCTAAGTGTGCACCATGAAAACACACACACACTTGTGTGTGTGCAGTTCTAAATAAATGGTCCATGGCATAGTGAGAAACAGTGCAGATCATTTTTACATCCTACTATGTCCATAAAGGAATTAAAGTAGCAGGACATCTTATGTGTCTGGCACTTCCCAAATCCAGATGCTGCAGCAATCCATAACATTAAAGCGTTCCACCACTGAATAAGGCTTATTTTTGGGGACTTGCTGTGTTTTTAAAAACCCCAAAACTATTTGGAAGAGCCCATTACTGGTTCCTCCAGAATTTAAAGACATCCCAACATTTCCAAGGAACTGTCAGGTGTGTTAGGGACATTTTTAGGAATTTAGCAAAGCAAAAATGTTTGCTTTCCAAGATTCAAAGTCTATAGCGCCAACTAGGAGTGATCTTTTTATTATAATTTTATTTAAAAAATGTAACCATTTTTAAGTAACATTCTTCTTTAATGTTATTTTATGCAGGTGCTTTTAGTTTTGGATGATGTGAAAGTTTGAGAGGAAATAAGAAAAAAAAGTCTACAGATTTCAAAACCAGTTCTATGCTTTCTCTTTTGAAAGAACACTTTAGGCAATTGACAATGTGGATTAAGCTACTCCAACATTAAAACACAATTTTAAATGGCAGACACACTGAATATTTAAAAGGTTCTGGCGCTTCTGTCCATGTACAACACCTGCTTCTTGTCTGGCAGCTCTCCATGCATTCTAGATCTATAATATGCACATTACAGTTTTCTTTCAGACAGATTCTACTATTATTGGCACAAATTCACAGTATAAATCACCAGGACTCCCCAAGATGTGAATGAGTATTAAAGTATACAATAAAGTGCAACTCATTCTGTCTTGTGGAGCCATATTATGGAACCTGTACTGTAACATGCATTTACAGCTTACATCAGAATAGAAGACTCTTTTCTTTAACGTTATTTCAATGCAGGTGTTTTTAGTTTTGAAAGGACTGAGTGAAACTTACAAATGCTATGATATCCAGAATTAAAAGGTAGACTTTTATCCTCAACCCACCTACTGCTTTAGTATTACTCTAAAGGCTGTCCAGCAGTGACTGGCCTTAGGAAATATAGTGTATCTGGTTCTGTGAAACCTAATACAACAGCACATGACTGGACTTGAAATGGAAAGTCTTCATTTTTAATACCCTGGACTTTTGTATAGTCAGAATCTTTTGTTACTTAAAACTAGTTTTGGGGGCCTCTAATGATAAACTCATTATAGTTCTTCTCCTCTAACTTGCTATAGCAGCTCTTGTTCATCATCTTCAGATCCTGAGGGTCCTTGTCGCACCTCTTCATACCATTTGTTGGTGAGGCTTTTCATCTGTAGGCGTCCATGATGTAGGTCCTAAGGCAAAAGGAAATCAAAATTGCAGTTTAGATTCAGCACTGTGAAAGTGAGTGACAACTATATATATTCATTATATATTAGCGATGGGCAACCTAGGCTACAGTGCAGACTGCAAGACTGTCGTAAGTAAGATAGTCTCCCAGGATAGGGTAGTTTTGCCAACTGTGCTTGCATACCTAGAATTTGCAGTGTGCTGACTGCATCCAATCAAAGTGCTGCTACAGTTCAGAGGTAGCACACAGCTCTCGCAGTCAGTATTGTGTACAATCAGCTTACCCTTCACTCCATGAACATAGGAACGGCCATACTGGGTCAGACCCAAGGTCCATCCAGCCCAGTATCCTGTCTGCCAACAGTGGCCAATGCCAGGTGCCCCAGAGGGAGTGAATCCAACAAATGCCTTCCATCTCCACCCTCTGACAAACAGAGGCTGGGGACACCATTCCTTACCCATACCGGCTAATAGATTCATGGAGGTAAGGTCCATTAATGGCTCTCTCTTTTAAACCCTGTTATAGTCCTAGCCTTCACAACTTCCTCAGGCAAGGAGTTCCACAGATTGACTATGCGCTGTGTGAAGAAGAACTTCCTTGTACCCTTGCTTTATGTGTGTGTCACTTTAGCAATACTAGTAGGATTCTGAGCATGGGTAATGATCAACAAAATGTCTTGTGGGGTATGCCTAGAATCCTGATGGGCCGCATGCAGCCTGTAGCTGCAGGTTGCCCACCACTGTTATATAGCATTCATTCCCATCATTTCCATGTCTAACCATAGACACAGTTATGCTCGCAGTGGAACACACACAGTGGTGAAAGGTGGACTCTAACTCTGGTTTCTCAACCCCCATGCTATCTTCACTGGAATCTTATTTTCTCTGGCAGGGAAAGGTACAGAGCAAGAGTAGCTTGGAAACAGGTTTTCCCAGGACCCAGAGACCAAACAAACCATGCCAGGTGCAGCAAAATGGTGAATTCTGCAACAACAACAACAAAGGCTGAATTCCACAGCATGTTGGGGAAAATGCCAAATCTGTGGCTACAGAATCCAAGAGTCTACAGGGCTTTCAGCGAGAAGAGCAGTTGACTCTTCTGAAGAGCCTGAAGCAGAGTTACCAGGTTACTTGAGTCACAGTTTCTAAATTCTCTTTACAAGGTGGTGTATAAAATTTAAGTTAAAACTGCAATTCCAGTGCACAACTGTGTGACAAAGGGAGAATTTTACAGCAAATTCCATAGCTGCAGTATACATGGGGCTCTGTATATAACCAGTCCTGCCACGGCTTGGGCCATATGTGTGGGCAATGTTTTGCACTAATATTTTAGCTTTGCTAAGTCTGGTGCTTTGATTTTTAAGCACTATCTCCTGAGCCTAGGTTTAGTAATTAAATTATTGATACAGGTATCTTGGTCTGTAAAATTAATGAAGAATTTAATTAAAGCTCACATTTCTGTAAGTTTATTACAAAGTTTGGAAGCCATGAAAAGTATTAACTTAAATCAAATTAGCATTTTACGGCAGTCCTAGAGTATGGAAACTCTCTATAAACAAGTAAGCCTGGTAAACTCACTGTGCCCAGCTCAAAAGTTACAAATCTGCACCACAGATCCTTGCATGCCTTTGAATGGAATTCCACAAAATGCTACCCTAACACTTTCTACAATATTTCTTTTTCAACAAAACAAACAGAACCCACCTCCTGCGTGAGCCGCCTTGTGAAGAATGGATTCAAATACTTGGCATCAAGCCACATAAAGCCTTTGAGATCCTGGCGCTTTATGTAGTGAGCTTCGTACTCTTCCTCTGTGAGTTCTGATAAATGTTCAGATTCAATGGTATTTCCCTGAAATGATCAGACATATTGTAATAACTTTGTAAATCTGACCATTTAATCTTTTGCTTTGTTTTTAAATTTGTTCTTTTAAACAACTTTCATCTGCCTCTTAGTGACACGTGATTCACAATGTACTAGCTATTACCCATTTGTATATGACTTACTCCATCCTAAATCTTGTCTGTGTTTCCATCGAAGTTACCTTATTTTGTGCTGATCTATTTGTAATTAGACTGGGCTACAGTCATTACTTTAGATCTCTACATTTTGAATAGTTGGTATAGTAATGTTTTTACAATATTTGTAAATGACAAGGCTTTAATACTTTAATGTATTTTCCTTAGAATGGTCACACTGTATCAGACCAATAGACTATCTAGTGGTTAGTATTAGGTGCTTCAGTGGGAATGACCAGAACAGGGCAATCATTGAGTGATTCCATCCCCTGTTGTCCAGGCCCAACTTCAGGCAGCCATAGTTTCAGGGACACCCAGAGCATGGGCTTGCATCCCTTGGCATTTTGGCAGATGGATTCCATGATCTTATTTAATTATGTTTAACCCAATTAAACTTTTGGTCTTCACCACATCCCCTGGCAACAAGTTCCTCACACTGAGTGTGTACTGTGTAAAGAAGTTTTTCCTTGGTTTAAAAAAAAAAAAAAAATCTTGACTACCGATATGGAAGTTGTTCCATACCCCAAGCATTTTTGTCCCTTCCCTGTATTTTTTCCAATTCTTATATATCTTTTTTGAGACTGAGTAATCTGAACTACACACTATTCAAGATGTGAGCATACCATTGATTTGTATAGTTGCTTTATGAAATTTTCTGTCTTCTCTCTCCCTTTCTTAATGGTTTCTAACATTCCTCTTAGTTTTTCTGACTGCAACTACACATTGAGCAGATGTTTTCAGAGACTCCTTCACAAAGACTCCAAGATCTCTATCTTGAGTAGTAACAACTGTTGACACCATCATATGGTGTGCACAGTTTCTTATATGGATTGCTTTTCACTTAATAACATGGAATTTCATCTGCTAATTGTTCAAAGAAGCTGGGTGCGATAATGTTTTATTGGACCAGCTTTGGTTGGAAAGAGATGAACTTTCAAGCCACCTATAGCTTTTTCTCAAATTTAATAATGGCACTGTGGTCACTGTAATAGTGACATGAAGAACTCTGTGTGTCTCAAAAGCTTGTCTCTCTCACCAATAGAATATATTCTGCAACTTATACAACTAGAACTATACTGCATACGTTTTGTTGTCCAATCTCCAATTTTGTGAGAATCCTTTCTAACTTTTTGCAGTCAGTTTTGGACTAGCTTGACCACAGGTTGAAAACCACTGATAAAGAGTATCTCCTAAATAAATCCTCTCCATGGGATGTCTCTGGCTATGTCTATGCTGGCAACTGAATGACACAACTTTTGTCTTTCACAGACGTCAAAATGACACACACTCCCTGAAAGACAAAAGTTTTGCTGACAACAAGTGCCAGAGTGAATAGCACTTTGTTGGCAGGAGCACTCTCCTTCTGACAAAGCTCATTGAGACTGGAAATTTTTTGTTGGCAAAAGAGCCAACAAACAGCAGCTACACTGAATGGCAGTGTAGTGACAGGCTGTAGTGACACAGCTGTGACACTAAAAATTGCTTAGTGTAGATAACGCCTCTGTCTGAACTGCATGCTGCTCTGTGCTGTCTTACCTCTGAATTTTAAAAAAACCTTTCATTGCTTTCATCTCATTTTCCAACGGAAAGTACCAATGTACAGTTACTATGAATTGATCTTCTTATAAAATTAAAGAAAAATATCAATGATCATTCATTTAAAAAAAAATCAGAATAAAAGGAACAAACCATTTTTTCAGTCTTGCTGAGGTTAATATCCTTCTTGTTCCTTCTTCGTGCTTTAGAATCCTCAATATCAATCAGTCTGATAAGGGGCATGGTTCCTCCACCCAACAACAAAATTGTGAACAACACAATAATGATAGTTGTGGTCCCAATGAGCTGCCGCTTTTCTATTGGCTCCAAGCCCAAATGGAGGCTCAGGGCATATGGAATTGCCCCACGTAAACCTGATCAGAGAGGATTATAAACTAAGAATAAGTGACTACATCAACAGCAAGATTTGCCCTCCACACCCTTATAAATCAACATGGTGTCCAACTTATTGGAAGCCTCTTCTTCTAAGCCTATTTATGTTTTAAGATTATCTAGTTCTTATGCTGCGCCCATCAACCTTTTATTTGATTGTCTATCTGAATTTCTAAATGAATCAGATCTCTATAGCCTTTGAATGCAAGTCTCTCAAGCTATTAGGTTACTAAAATCAGGTTATTTTAAAGGCAGTCTTTGTACACTTTCCCAGGATGGGCTCTTTACTCTGAGACTCACCTGCGTATGGAAAATATAACATTGCTGCTGCATGTGGATTTGAAGAAGCCACAAATGCCCACTTAGGGTTTGCTCCATAGACAGAGGCATAGTACCATGCAGAGCACCTACTATGATACACTACTCTGTAAACTCCAAGCTTAGACTTACCACTAAACCACATGATGAACATCATTTTGGGGGTGATTTTATGATCACGAAAGAAATTGAGCAGGTAAGAAAGTGGAAAAATATTCACTGCTCTGCCAAACAGAACAAGCACCTGTTAAAAGCAACAAGTTAGATCACTAGAATTAGAGGACATTTAATGCATTATATCAAACCCCTACAGAGCAGTATAAATTGTTACTGATTTGTGAATAGTAGGGGGAATATAGTATTCTCACCATACATGCCTCATAACTAGCTATACTGGTAATCAAACTTTAATTGCTCAGCATAGGTCAATTTAAAGCTTACATTTGTAAACAGTGAATCACTGGAACTACAACTTGTTACACAAAGACTACGGAAATAATTGAAAATATTACCAGATACTGTTTTACAAGTGACAAGTGAACTGAAAGCCGAGAGGACATTAAAAAAGAAACAAAACCCAGGGGTTCATTTGAGTGCAGGTTGAACACCTTTGATAGCTTCCCAAAAACAGTCCAGCTCCTTTAATTATTTGCAGAGCAGCTGAAAGGGAAGCTGAAATTTCTGTTGCTTCCCCATAGGCCGGTACCTTAGAGAAAAGTGCAGAAAGCCAAACAGCTGGTTTTAATTCAGTCCCTCAGCACTTCCTCAGGTATCACTGTAAAAGAACATACCTAATACATACAAGTAGCATGCTGAGAACTGAGGATCATTTCCTTCCATGAAGTCAATGTCAACAAATATAAAGAAAAATTCAGCAGAATCAGGTGGAGTTTCTGAAATTGGTTGCTTATGAAAGAACGCTGCTTTGACAAGATAAATATCCTGGAACTAGAACATATGGGAGTTTCTAGGGCTGTGCCCTTTTGCCATATGGCAACCAGCCATAATTATTGCCTTTGGGCTGTGAAGGCCATCACCAATGAGAATGAAATGCCACTCTGCTTGGGAGGAGAGGTAGTTAAATATAATGCACGGAGAGCAGTCTTTCACCTCCCACAGCTCAGACTAACACCTCTCATGGCAGAACAAGGGTGCTTCTGAAGTATAGACTCAAACATGGCAGCATCAGATGCTGCCCTCCACGCCAGCCCCACCAGGGATTAATATTTTGTTCGTTTCCATTTGTGAAAGGGAAACATTTTTTTGCCTTTATAAACTGGTATTATGGCAATGGTAACAGGCACATTATCCTCATGTGAGGCATAATTTAAGGTATCATTTATACCACACCTTTCTTTTTCTTTGTAATTAAAATCTGTAAAAAATCCAGAACCAAAAATGTTATGTGGAGAAGTGCTTCCCTCATAATCTTTACATTCTCTGGGACTTCCCAAAAGGTGCTATTTTAATTCATCTGATTGAAAGTCAGACTCAAATAGGGATTCTTCGGGCCTTTTCAAATAATCTCATATACCCATGCTGCAAAGGAGACAGTACAATAGAGTTCCTTAAAATATGCTTGTAGCTATTTCTACCAAAGTTGTGTAGATACTCAGAAGAAATAGTTAATTTCATTTCACTGCTGGGGATTTGGGATTAATCATGTACAACATATAAAGAACTTAAGTGTATTTTATGAAAAAATAGACTAATAGACTCATAGACTTTAAGGTGAGAAGGGACCATTTTGATCATCTAGTCTGACCCCCTGCACAATGCAGGCCATAGAATCTCACCCACCCACTGCTAGAATAATCCTCTCACCTATATCTCAGATATTGAAGTCCTTGAAACGATGGTTCAAAGATCCCAAGATGCAAAGAATCCTCCCGCTAGTGCCCTGTGCCCCATGCTAAAGAGGAAAACGAAAAACCTCCAGGGCCTCTGCCAATCTACCCTGGAGAAAAATTCCTTCCCAACCCCAAACATGGCGATCATCTGAACCCTGAGCATGTGGGCAAGATTCACCAGCCAGACATCCAGAATAAAGTTCTCTATAGCAACTCCTATCTTCCCACCACTGGCCTATTTACCACTGATAGTGAAAGGTCAATTAATTGCCAAGATCAAGTTACCTCATCAAACCATCCCCTTCAAATTCACTCCTCTAATGGTTAGAAACCTTCACCTAATTTCAAGTGTAAACTTCCTAATAGCCAGCTTATATCCATTTGCTCTTGTGTCCGCATTGGTATTAAGCTTAAATAATTATTCTCCCTCCCTGGTATTTATCCCTCTAATATATTTAAAGAGAGCAATCATATCTCCCCTCAGCCTTCTTTTGGTTAAGGTAAACAAGGCAAGTTCCTTGAGTCTCCTTTCATAAGACAGGTTTTCCATTCCTCAGATCATCCTAGTGGCCCTTCTTTGTACCTGTTCCAGTTTGAATTCATCCTT